TGTTTTTTTATTTTTTTTTTTTTTTTTTTTTTTTTTTTTTTTTTATCAAATAAGTCCAGCCTTGGGGAACATAAGAGACTTCTTTAAAAAAAATAAAAATAAAAAAAAAGACATTTTGAAAATCTTACCAACCCCAAACGTTTGTATTGTAGTGTATATTTTGTATAGAGAGAGTTGATTTTTAGGATCTTAATTTTGATTTTATGGTCAAATGCAACCCAGACATGTTTTTGACAGGTTTCGTGATTATTTCTCGTACCTCATCGGCGCCGTGCTCCTGAAGCTCCTTGAAGAACTTGAGAGAGATGCTGACCATTACTTTAGTTTTGTCTCCATTGGGGTTGGAGATGTGGTAAAGCACACCATCAAAGTCTGTAGCAAAGGAATAATAAGACCCCATGTTAATCATTTTGCTTTTATCAGTGTAAAATAAACATGACTTTTATTGTAAGATCAGTTACAAGCATGCATAGTAATGTTTGGACTTCCACTTTTGAGCTCATCCATATTTCCACCTTACCTGCAAACGTAACCTCTACGGCTTCAGGCTTATTCCTAAACAAAAAATAGTGTATATTTTGTATAGAGAGAGTTGATTTTTAGGATCTTAATTTTGATTTTATGGTCAAATGCAACCCAGACATGTTTTTGACAGGTTTCGTGATTATTTCTCGTACCTCATCGGCGCCGTGCTCCTGAAGCTCCTTGAAGAACTTGAGAGAGATGCTGACCATTACTTTAGTTTTGTCTCCATTGGGGTTGGAGATGTGGTAAAGCACACCATCAAAGTCTGTAGCAAAGGAATAATAAGACCCCATGTTAATCATTTTGCTTTTATCAGTGTAAAATAAACATTACTTTTATTGTAAGATCAGTTACAAGCATGCATAGTAATGTTTGGACTTCCACTTTTGAGCTCATCCATATTTCCACCTTACCTGCAAACGTAACCTCTACGGCTTCAGGCTTATTCCTAAACAAAAAGAAAGCAGAGTTAATATGGTCTGCTTTCCGTTGGACTTTTTCTCATGAAACACAAAGAAACAAGGAAAACAAGTAAAGGGATTATGGACAGTCATCCAAGGTGATCAAGCAGAAGAGGTTTATTTTGCAATGACGACATTATTCCACTTCTACACGCCTAACTTGCCAAATCAATAAACTGACATGAAATACTTACTGTTGGAATAATTGTATTAGCTTATACAATATTAATAAAATATGTCATTTATACAGTGTTGTCATCAGTGTTGGGGAAAGTTACTTTTAAAAGTAATGCATTACAATATTGTGTTACTCCCTAAAAAAAGTACCTAATTATGTTACTTAGTTACTTTTTACGGAAAGTAATGCGTTACGTTACTTTTGAGTTGCGTTTTAAATCTGGACCGGGCTTGCTTGTTTGTTTTTAAAATAAAAAAGTTATATTTTTGGCAAATATATAAAAACCTTTTCACACCAAAAGTGAAATGAATGAGCCTCAGGCTGAAGGGAAAGTACATTTACATCCGTACAGTAGAATGCAGAAGAAGCCATTTCAACACACTTCAGCAATAAACAAAGACACATAATGTTTGTCTAGAGTAATTTGTGCTTATTAGTACGCTTGAACTGAATCATCGAAGGCCAGAAGTAAATAGAATGGGATTAAATACATAAAGGATATTTGTGTTGTTCAACATTTAATTATTGCAGGTTTGCGTCATATTCTGAGCTGCATTATTTTTATTTTGAGGAATACTGAAACTGTGTTTTTTTTGTGTGCGAGTGAGATGAATTAATGCATATTCATATTTATTTTGAACTGCAGTAACATCTGATTTCTCTCAACATGGGGACAGGAGAGCTGTCAGTCAATAAATTTGAAAAAAAAAGTAACGCTTATCTGAAAAAGTAACACGTTACTTTACTAGTTACGTGAAAAAAGTAATCTGATTACGTAACTTGCGTTACTTGTAATCTATTACCCCCAACACTGGTTGTCATGGACAACGCACATTATTCAGAAATATTTTATCTGAATGCCGTGACTGGCCAATCAGAATCAAGTATCACAGTAATAATGTAAACAATAACAGAATATAACGACACACATTTAAATTCAACAACTGAACATTTCATTACTATTTAGTTGAAGTAAATTAACTAAAAAAGTAAATAGCGGGAAAACCAATCAGAATTGGTTTGTAATCAAATGCGCCGATGATGAGTCGCAGCAGGCGCGTGACGATGTTAAGCAATGTTTAAAGTCACATACTGGAGAATAAAGGGGGAAAAGAAGTTCCCGAGGAAACTGCCATGTTACTTCATCGTGCATGGACGGGTCTAGAAGAATCGCTGATATTTGCTTGTTCTTGCAGCGACATGCATGCATGCATTCACGCGCGCGCGCACACACACACACACACACACACACACACGAACAGGAAGTGTGCACTGCTATCTGAACATTTCTGTCAACCAGGTCAGCCGACAGCGATGTGTGCAATGGTCAGAATCACCCGAGAGACCCGTGTTAGCAATCACTCACACTTAAATCATGTTTTTCTTACGCGACACACCCCATACAGGATGCTTCATTACTCCAACATGGACAAATCAACAAATTATCTAACTGAACATAGTCAATACAACACGAAAGCTTGTGTTATCGTGTCATTTTATACATGCAAACAAACCACGGCTCGTTTTAAAGCATGCATGCATCAGATGAGCGATGTTTGATGCGAGCTGTGACTCGGGCAGGAAGAGCTTCCTCTTACCCGTTGCTCGCGCTGTCGAATTTCAGGGTGAGAGTCTCCTCTATGATCCGATTGTTGATTTCCAACAAAATCATGGTGATTTAAATGAATGTTTAATGGCTGTGTGGAATTAAAAATATAAGAGAAAATATTGGTTTTCTACAATCCTACTACGATCGTTTTGGTTTTCCTGCTCCTACACCTCTGGCCGCTTCCGCATTGACTCGAAAGACCCGCGGGCTGCCCGCGTCGCTGCCTGTTCGTGTGTCCTAGTTCTTCTTGATCTTCTTCGGTTTTATGGCGGGTAGCGCCAATGTTAAGGTGCATTGTGTGTACTAGTTATTTAAACAAAATACTTTAATGGAATTATGCTGTTTACATTTTATTATTAATTATTCTGAAATATTTTAGCACACAAATGATATTCTATATTATAACATAAAATCAGCCTGTTTTGTGATTTCCATGACTTTTTTAGACCTATTATGCCCCTTTTTACGAGAAGTCCCCAGAATGTGTCTGTGAAGCTTCATCTCAAAATACCCCACAGATCATTTATTATATCTTTGTTCACTGATATAATAGTTATATATTATAAGACACTGCTTATAATTTATGGGGATTAAAAAAGAGGAGTTGGTGGGTTTTTATCATTATGGGGTGGTTGTGTACACACTGCCAACACACATTTATATTCAAACACTATGTAAAAGTGAATTTTGCACAATAGGTCCGCTTTAACATTCCCTGATCCGTCAAGGTTTTTCATGAGGGTGCATACTGTTGTTGATACTACTGTCATGCAGTGACAATGTTAGTGAAAAAAACTACTGGCAAACACAATGTCCCACACAATGACCTCATGAATCAGAAAAACGTTTTAGTGCAAGCACAAGCAGGTGTTTAGGAAGTGTTGTGGTGGTTTGTTGTTAGTCTTTTGAGGAAATAATAAAATCCCTTTCACCCCGTGGGGTCTTTAGCTGTTATTATACTGTACTGTCTGGTTAAACATAGCCTTATTATAACTAAATTTAGCTTGCCTGAAATTTGGGTGAGGTTGATAAACCTTTCGATATATTCGATTGAATATATGCTTTCATGTTTTAAACAAACTCTATTCAGATATTTTCAGTAAGTTAAGGCAGTATGTTTGTGTGACAGTTTTCCTGACTTGGGCAATAAAATTCAAGCACTTTCTGATGGAAAACCAACATATGTGTGTGTGTGTGTGTACCTACTTAACCATATTTTGAGGACAAATTTGTACCCAAAAATGAGCAAAACCTGACAAAATCTCCAAAAACCTCCCTTTGGGGACGTCCTCATTTGTAAAACTGGTTTAAAAATAAAGTAAACAAAGTTTTTTTTTTATTGTAAAAATGCAGAACGTTTCCTGTGAGGGGTAGGTTTAGGGGTAGGGTTGGTGTAGGGCAATAGAATATATGGTCTGTACAGTAGAAAAACCCTTACGCCTTTGGAATATCCCCATTTAGATAGCTAGGTAAATGTACGTCTGTGTGTATGTGTGTGTGTGTGTGTGTGTGTGTGTGTGTG